TCGGTCGATCCAGTTGCCAATCAATTCGTGTTGTCAGTGAGTGTACATGATGACTGATGCTTTTCAGGTCACTGATTCCCTTTTTTATCCTGTCAACCTGGTCACTTCAAATGTGTCACCTTTCAGCCTCCCCAACAAGGCTATGAAAGCCTTACCCCAGGTTAACAACTTGTGTGATTGTTGCCTCACAGCCAACCTGGAGTATGCTTGTCTTATTACGAGGAATTTCCGACTCGGCCCCCGGATGGGACCCCGATGACTTTGTCAGACTCAGCTCCCCTCACCCTGGCGTAAGGACTTTGTGGGTTTTCTCGGCACGACTATACCGAGTACATACCGCCAACGACGAATATGTTGGTACTCGATGTACGCGCAATGGGTCCTAGACTCGTTACATACGAAGTATTCGATACACGGCTATTGATTAATTCTTATTCCTCCTGGTCTCCTTGTGCGAGACGGCTCCCAGATGTGTCAAAGCAATGGACAGCGTTCCAGCCGCAGCCTCGGCCCACTTCATTGAGCAGGTTGGCTCTCCACTCTGATATCGGAATTTCCCAGCCACATGTCGGAATCGACCAGACGTATTGCACCTTCCCTATTCAATCTCGGGATGGATGTCGTGTTATCGCAATGTCAAGTAAACACACCCACAACCACCATCACCATCACAATCACAGCTTTTAGATGACCCGAGGTACCATCAACTATTCCGAGAATGGAGATTAAGCCTTGGGCAATTGCCGACGCGGGCCAGCCATGCTATCCCGTCGGGAAATTGCACCCCAAGTCCCTCAACACTCGACACAACTCTCTCTCCTGTCCCTTTGTCTGACCTTTCCTGGACGCGGAATAGCCCTCTACCCCGCACTTGTATTGGGGCACATGCACAGACCAAGTCGACCTGCTCGTGGCAAAGCCTTTGGACCTTCGTCCTTTCACTCGTGGGAATTTGGCGGCCTCTGAAGCGAATTTCCCACCGTCCACGCGCGGAATTTCGGCTGGAAGTCACGTTGCATCCGCCAAGCGCAATTTTTCATTCTTCTATCCGAACTGAATGCGGAGAATAGATTCTCCTTCTCCGCGCTTTCCACCGTCTGTTGGCAGGGCTGCGGTACAGCCTTTTTGCAAAATTCTCTGCCTCTTCTCCGCCTCTTGTTTTCTCCTACGTAACTCATTCCTCCTTCGACCATTCCATGACACATAGTTGATTCTTTCTTTGCAACAACATCCAATCTTTTTGACGCCTTCTGACACTGCGCCAGGAAGTCTCAGCACATCCAGGATTTTCAGTTGCTCGTGATCATGAAAAGAGTTGATGCAATTGCCCAACTTCGCCTACAACTGATGTCACTCCCGGATGAGCATGACGCTTTGGATAGCCACGTCGTCCGCGTGCTGCTTTTTCACCAATCGTACAGCCGACCGGCCCCTTCACTCCCTCTGAGCAAACTGAAAATTTTTTTCCACTGCTACCGTCTTGAGGTTCTAGTATGGAACCCTTACCCCAGATTCTGTGTTTATAAAAGGCCCAGACTGTCTGGGAATCCGGGGTCGGTCTATCACATGGAACAAGCATTGACACAAGCATTCCGAGTTTACTTTGTTCAAAAAACATAATCTTATCTATAGATTTCCCTTCACAGAGATCTTTCGATATCAGGGGGTGTCAAGTCTTTCTTCCGCGCCTACTGTAACAAATTTGTCAAGGCAACCAGAAAAACACAATGTCTGCTGCTGGCCGGACTTCCGTGTCCTCCAACACCTCTGCATTGTCCGTTACTGAACCCTCGCCCCGACAAGTCTCGTCAATTTGCTATCCAAAGGGCAAGTGGTACGATTGCCTTCGTCCAACAACCACGCCTTATGCAGGCTTTGGCAACCTGACCAATTTTGCGAGCATGTCCTGCAACGGATCTGCCGAAGCAGCTGGAGAGGATTGGACGAGGGAAGTCTACGGAAAGATGAAGTAAACTTTCACCGATGATTTTATGGTCTTTACGGACGAGAAGGACATGGAAGGGTTATTCGGGCCTCTCAACTACCACGGACTACCACTTGGCAATATGACTGTCACCCTCGCCTTGGTGGCCTTGACCCATGCTGAGATACGAGACAGAACGCGACGACTTTCTTTCAGGATCAAACCGGCACGAAGGAATAATTGAAACTACGGACGACTGAACGTGCGCTGCGCTTTCTTTTTTTGTTTTACTAGCATGTTGATCGATGCAAAGCTGTGTTCTACCAATGTTTAACGATGGCGTTGACAGGTGCTGTCGCCTTCTGCATGAGTGGATGCGCAATATCCTTTACGCGTTCTCCAAAGCCGGGTCTAGACATGGAATGACGGGCAAATGGAGTCTACCTGGATAACAGCCGCTAGCAGTAACTTTGCTTGATCCAGCTTTATCATTCTGGTTCTTTGGAATGACCGTTGATCTACCGACGATCTTGTAGTATCATACTCTATCTGCTTTGTTTTACAGGTCCGTCGCGATATCCAGCGACATTATCTTGTTGTGGTGATAGCCACTTATTGTATCTCGCCGTTTGGGTCTCTATCGCCTGAGGGTCGATCAGCACGATCCAGAACGGCATCGCCCTTCGTTTCTTCCATCTTTCCAGAGGAGTCAATGGCAGAGCCTGGATCAGGCAGATCTGTCATTTCCGCGTCTTCGATGTTGGAAACTGTGGCTATCTCTGGCAAATCTGATGTGCGCTGCTGCGAGCCCGTCTCCGGATCAGACACCGTATTGCCTGTCTCTTCTTCGTCTTGTGGTTGTGTTCTCGCATTGTCGCGGCGGTTTCCTGCCTCTTCCTCGGTTCCATTCTCACCCCCTTCGGCCTTTGCTCTGTTCTCTTCCGCTTCAGCTTCAACTTCTCTGCCTTTTTCGGCCTGGTCGTCAAGGGTGTCCGCTCCCAGCAGAGCCTTCAAATCACCACCATACTGGACCTTCTCGCACATGACGAACCGATTCTTGCTGGCACGCAATGCCCTCCACACCTTTCCAGCCTTTCTCTCCTCAATCTCTTTTTTCTCGTCCTCCGTCATCGCAAAGTCCATGTCCAGGTCATCCCTATCAATGCCCCTGTAGTATTCCTCCAAAGTGGGCACCCGATGGCGTTTTGATGGATGCTTGAGGGCTTCGAGAGGTTCAATTTTCGAAAGAAACGCTAGGTCATTTGCCCCTGGTGGATTGACAAGGGGTGCTCGCGCGGCCTCAGCCAGCTTTGTAAGCGTATCACGAGATTCGAGATAGATCCGTGGCGAGACACTGTCGCGCGATATTGATGGACAGTTTTCAGCTTTCCATCGTACCCAGTTTTTGTCTCTCGATAAGATTGTATCAACCATGCGGTAGTAGAATTTGCCTTCGTTGCCGTTTCCACCTTGTTGTAAATAAGCTGCGATTTGAGAACGAGTCGAATGTGCCCATTTGGTGTCATCTTCAGAGAGTATGTAGGAGTATAGCACGGACTTGTTAGTCAGGCCTTCAAATTTCGTTTTGACACCTGGGGAGAGACTGAGCAGGAAGTCGAGCATGATCAGTGCCTGCACAAGGATGTGTCTGCGAAAGGCAATATCATGAATTTCGAGATCAAATAGATCTCTGTTTGTCAGATATTTAGGGCTGAACGTTGAAGTCAAGGCTGATGTCTTATCAACCTCATTGCGCTTGCGCTTCAAACCGCGTTTCACATCGGTAGGGTTAGTAGAAGAGCCTGAACTATTCGAGACAGACTTAAAGCAGGAGAGTGTCTGTCCGATGCCGTCTCTGAACGCACCCATGTTGGCAGAGTCGAAAAGCTTCGTTGGTGCGGAAAAGAAGGATTGGAGCGACCAGAACTTGGGATACAGGACGTCGAGATCGGGGGGCTGCTCTTTAGGCTCGGACGTGGAGTTCTTAGGAACTGGTGTGTTTCTTGCCGCCTTATCGTGATCCTGAACTTGACTGCTCGACGCAGGAGTATGAGTTCCAGAGGTAGCTTGTGGTGTGCCGGTATCGATTTCCATCGGCTTGATCGCATCTTCCGATTTGATAGGTGTCGGATCGAAGGCAGTAATGTTCTCCACGTGAAATTCACCACGTAGATTGACCGAGCTCTTGTCGCCGAGGGGAAAGCTCTGGAAGAGGAATATGAATACTCGTCCACAAAAGACGGTGTCTTCAGCCCGCGATAGCCTCCTGAGTAGCTCATTGCAACATCTCAGAATGACCAAGTTCTTTTGTTTAAAGTGCTTCGCCGTCATCCTTTCTCTCCGTGACTCTAGGTAGTCGAAGACTTTCCTGCAACCCTCAATCGTTTGGCTGTCCAGAAGCTCTTCGATGAGCCAGAAACCCAACCCCGGCTCGCACAGTTCGTTGTCGGATAGGATGTTGATAATGTCTAGAAGCACCCAGACCTGGGCGAATGCCGGCGCTGAGATATCAACTGTCGCAACTATGTCGACAACAGTGTCGCGACAGACTGTTTCGACTGCGGCATTGTGGATTTGGATTGTCTCCGTAGAGACTGTATCACGAACAGCTTTTATGCGGTCAAGCAGCTCCGCGCAGTCTGCCTCAAGAACGAGGGTATCAATGTCACCATCCTCTCGTGCTTCAGTAAGGCGTTGAATGCAGGACTCGATCAAGGATTTGTAGGTTGCGACGCAGGGAACGTTGGTAGCTGCCATGTTGTCGCGAGGTTGGTGGTCGGAGAGGTGACTGTTGGTCCGTTTACATCAGGAGCAAGGCCGTTCGACCATAACAAGCATTGAAGAGGGATTGCCCTTCACGTAGAAAGCGTCATCTTCGTAGAAAGGTAGATGATAGATTTGCGGCACAGGCGTGGCAGGTCAAGGAAACATCAACTATGCGGCTCTGCGGAGAAATTAAATTCTCGGCGCAGTTTGTAAACTCCACAAGACTCGCCGTCCACCCTGCGCGTGACGCTTTTTTGTACCCACGAACCACGTCTTTTCATGGTCAATGGGCCTTCAACTACGGCCGGCGATGGCTCCAGCCCTCGATGTGCAAGCCGGTGTCAGCGTCCCGAGTGAAAACGGTGTCAACAGCTGGGAAGAGCTGGCTAAAAAACTGTGGTGGGATAGAGATACTGCACCTACGAAGGTCAAACCAGAAGTGATCAAGACAGCAATTTGGGATCCTCTCGAACAGGACTCTTTCCCATTCAATTCTCTCGCTGTCCTTGAAAGCTATCAGATTCTCGAAAGATTTCTGTGGCCGACCTTCTCATCAGAGTCTTCCAACCACCATGTCTTGCTCATCGTCGTCTTCTTTAATGTGAAGCAACGCGCTCGGCTCCACGACTGGCTCTTGTTCAACGACCGCCCGGCAGAGTTTTCAAGCCTCCTTCGTCGAGTCCTCTCCTTGAACCTCGATCCCTCTTTATCCATCTTTGCCCGATTGTCGCTCCTCCATTTTGTGCTCGGTGCGTTTCAGTCACTGGAAAATGAGCACGTCCGCAAAGAGTGCGCCCCACTGGTATCGATCGCAACATGGCACAATCTACATGACGAAAGAACAAGGGAACAGCTACTGGAGGCGAGCGCGGCAAGGAAAAAGGCGTGGAGAGCCGCTGCGCGGAGATATGATGCGGCTGATCCAGAAGCTCAAAGCCGTTTGCGCTTCGATCGAGCATGGTTGTATACGATGCTGATTGACTTCACTGCAAGGCTCAACGTGTCAAAACTTGTCCACTCTCAAGAAATGGTCTATTGTGAGCGATTTGTGGAGTTTTTGATCGACCTGACAAGTCAACTGCCGACCAGACGGTACACGAATCTACTATTGAAAGACGTCAACATTATCCCCGTGATCCGAACATCGAAGCTGTATCAAAGAGAGGACGCTGTGCTTCTGCAAGACTTGACCCGTCTGCTCGAACATTTCCAGTTTTTTGCGATTGATGAACTGGGAGGTACAGAAGAAAGTCATGATGGCTTGCGCAGAGCACATTATCAAGCCCTGGAAAAGCTGCAGCGAGTGGCGCTACAGCACTTTGGAGACAAATTAAAGGTTTTGGCACTGTCGAACTTCGGATCCATTGACAAAAGAAGCGAGCTGGAATCTCACTTTTCTACATTGACGGATACCGAGCTGCAGGAGCTGTGTATGCAGCTTGGGTTTCGAATTAGCTATCCCCCGGCTGCGGGAGTCGTTGCAACTCGTGCGCTCTTGATGGAAGTTCTCTTGTCAACCTTCGCCAAACCTCGAGACTTCCGCGAGGTTGTTGGTCAGCTAGCAGTTCTGCCCACGGCTAGCTCGCTGTATGACCCAACTTTACTGAGGAACGAACACTATGATGGCTCCCGGCCCCTTGGAATTCCCAAGCTTAACCTGCAATATCTCACTCTTGGTGATTTCATGTGGCGTTCATTCCAGCTCTATCAAGCCGAAGCTTTTTATGGGATAAGGAAGGATATGGAAAGCATTATCAAGCGGATGAAGCCGAAAGGCGCCCGGGATCGGAGCACGACAGCCTTTGAAGGGGTTTCGAAAATGGCTCTTCCGATCGCAGAACCTGCAGTCATTGAAGTCGGGCCGCCGAAAGTGGGATATCTGAAGCCTAGCTTTGTGCGAGTCGAAGTCATCCTGGACGTTAGCCGCCTGCCGGATGGTATCAGAAGAGAATGGGACAATCTCAAGCCACACGACGTTGTGTTTCTCTTGGCGGTTGATGCGACCAACTCTTCTCAGTTTCTTACCAACGGGCAGGCCAACGATCACGGCGAACAAAGAATGTTCACCAGTCTTAGAGCGGCTGAAGTATTCCAGATCCTGGACGATGATGGGAGAGCTCTGCGAGATACGCGAACAAACGGGCATAGTTCAAGACCTAAGAGGAGGCGTTTGCTACTCGATTTGGACACAAGCTCATACGCTGTCGACAAGCAGAAATCACGCCGATTTTCCTCAGAAATCGCGTCACTGAACGTTATCGCTCGGAGACAAGGGCGAGAAAACAACTTCAAACCTGTTCTGGAGACAATCCAGACTCTAGTGTCTTCAGGGACTGTGCTTCCACGGTGGCTACAAGAAGTCTATCTGGGTTATGGTGATCCAAAGAGTGCATCATTTCCAGCACTTCCGGATCACATCGACTCCATGGACTACCTGGACACATTTCTTGATTGGCAGCATCTCCTGGACAGTTTTCCGGGAAAGACAATCGAAGCAGGCGCCGGTCAGTCGGCTCCCTTTGATCCGCCTTATATTCTCGAACGAGCGACGACGGACGCTTCAGCCGAACCACCGCCAAACCCGAAGAAGAGACGCCGTGACCAAATGGAGCAAGACTCATCCATGCTCAAAGTTTTGACCTACAGACCTCGTAACACGGGACCATATCCAATGGACAACCCAAAGAAGAACACGATTCGCTTCACGGCTAAGCAGGTAGAAGCCATTGTGTCTGGCACGCAACCTGGCCTCACCATCGTAGTCGGGCCCCCCGGAACGGGCAAGACTGACGTTGCAACACAAACCATCAACTTACTCTACCACAATTTTCCATCCGAGAGGATCTTGCTTGTTGCTCACAGCAATCAAGCGCTTAACCAGCTTTTCCAGAAAATCATTGCGCTTGATATCGATCCACGCCACTTGCTACGACTAGGCCATGGAGAAGAGGAGCTTGATACGGAGGCATCCTACGGTAAATTTGGTCGGGTTGAGTCATTCCTGGAGAATCGCCAATTCTATCTGTCCGAAGTCAGCCGACTTGCCGCTTCAATTGGTGCTGAGGGAGCACACGGCGCTTCGTGTGAGACTGCCGACTATTTCAATCAGGTCTTCATTAGACCTGCTTGGCAACGCTTCTGGGATATTATTAATGCTGAAAATGCTACGGTGGAGTCCGTCCTGAGTTCTTTCCCCTTTTACAAATACTTCAGCAACGCTCCAGTTGCAACGCTGTTCCCTCCGAATGTCACGATTGAAGAAGCGCGGGAGATCATATCCGGCTGTCAGTATCATATCGACAAGATCTTCTCCGAGTTAGAGGCTATCCGACCTTTTGAGATTTTGCGCGCCGGTCGCGATCAAGCGAACCATCTCCTGGTGAACGAAGCACGGATCATTGCCATGACATCAACACATGCGGCCATGAGGAGATCCGAGATAGCTGAACTTGGCTTTCATTATGACACTTTGATCATGGAAGAAGCAGCACAAATCACTGAAATCGAAACCTTTATTCCATGTGTGATGCAGGACTCGGATCCACAGACTGGTGAAATGCCCTTGAAGCGGATCATTCTCATAGGAGATCACCTGCAGAACTCCCCCATTATCCAGAACCTCGCTTTGCGCCAGTATGCCAACTTCGAACAGTCCCTCTTTCTACGTCTCGTCCGCCTCGGTGTCCCAACCGTCCATCTTGATCAACAGGGTCGCTGCCGGCCCTCAATTGCCAGGCTCTTCAGATGGCGCTACCATAACCTGGGTAACCTAACTGATCTCGTCTTGCAGCCAGAGTTTTCACGCGCCAATGCAGGCTTACGTTATGATTACCAGTTTATCAACGTACCGGACTATCAAGGGAGTGGCGAGCGTGAACCTACACCGCATTTTATCCAAAACCTCGGAGAGGCTGAATACGCAGTAGCGTTGTATCAGTATATGCGCCTGCTCGGATATCCATCACGAAGTATCTCGATCCTCGCTACCTATGCCGGTCAAAAAGCATTGATACGTGACGTGCTCGAGCATAGGTGCAGGAAGAACTCGCTTTTTGGAATGCCGAGGATCGTGACAACGGTCGACAAGTACCAAGGCGAGCAAAATGACTATGTCATTGTGAGCATGACGAGGACGCGGTCGGTCGGATATCTCAGGGATGTCCGAAGATTGACTGTCTCACTGTCCCGTGCAAGGCTCGGATTGTATATCCTTGGTCGGAGGGAGTTGTTTGAAAACTGCTTCGAGATGCGGCCTGCCATGGACATCCTGTTGCAAAGACCGGATAAACTCATCGTCACGACCGGTGAAATGTTCCCTACTACTCGCTTACTCGAGGATGAGGTAGAAAACACATCGGAAATGGACGGGGTGGAGCATCTGGGTCAATACGTGTTCGAAATGACCCAGGCAAAGGTTAAGGCTTTGGGTGGACAGGTTAATGTTCAGGTTGAGGCAGACGAGCAGGATGGAGATGTGGGTGAGGAACTTGGCGCAGACATGGGGGAGGAGGATCCGTTACATGAGATTAGTTAGGCCGGACTGATAGTGGAGGCGAAACTCCAAGATACCCAATACAGAAACCACTTGAGCTTTGTTTGTACAGGAGTGTTTGACGAGCACTCCGCAGGCCTTTAGGAGGCGCTTAACACCGCCTGGGCTCGATTGATGCCAATTCTGCGTTTTCATAAATGTCTTCCCTTCTCTGAGTCTGCAGATGCGTGTCCTTATTTCACTGCACTGATTGAGGAGGTACAGGTCCAATACCCAAGGTGTTGGATGCTGTGTCGGAGGGCGAGGAGTCCGCATTATGTATTTAGGCACGATCACGAATAAATGTCACCTGAAACACGCGTACAGTGCAATGCAGTCAAGATATTCCATTCAGTCGAAGAACGCCTAGTAGCCATGTCATGCCTTGTGGTATGTTATTATGTTCACCCTGCCATAGCTCATCATTTCAGTGTGCCGCATTGTATCACATATCAGCCCGTTCCCTTGCCACCCGTGGCACTCTTCTGCAGTCACTCCCCAATGTCCACAGAAATATACAGTGAAATGCCGTCCCGTTGATCAGCAAGAATCGATTCGTTCCATCGGCCCTCTTGTTGTGACTCGACAAGTTTCAGAAGACGATGAGGAGCTATGCTTTGGTCGTGAAGTCCGTCTCCGTTGGGAGTAATCCACCATCGGCGGCCTTTTCGCATGTGCAGCTACTTGAATCCCTCTTGCCACAGGCGCATGTGGCTCCCGTAGGCGCAACATTCTCCGTCGCAGCTCGATCGCAGGTACATTGGCCGGCAGGGCGGGCTCCTTTATGTCCAAGTCAGTTCGCTTGTTTTTGCATGGAAGGGAGAGTCATGACAGAAGTGTCAAGTAGGGTAGAACATACTACACGAGCATCGCGGTCCTTGCAAGGTGTTCTCTTGGTTCTTCTTCTCGCAAGTGCAGTGCATGGCGGAGGTTTTGCCGCACGAGCAGGTAGCCTTCTGAGCGCAAATGCAAGCCTCGCCGCGACCACAGCAGGTGGTTGGTTTGACCATGGTTGCGGGTGAGAGTTTCTGTATTCGTTTGGTGGTAAATGTTGTGTTCTGTTCAATGGTTGTTTCTGCGTGGAATGGGACGATAGATGTAATCGATGTCTGGCTGTGCAGGGAGAAACTGGAGAGACTGTTTCTGAGCGCAGGTGCGTATCAACGGAGGGGTTTATATGTTTCTGTGAATGACGTACCAAGGCTGAGGGCTGACAATCACTTGGGTGATTATTGGTCAGCCTTGCTTGCTATGGAGCATTTTGCGGTCGACACCAGCCAATAACGATCATTTCATTTGCAAGGAGACCCGTTACGAGTATTTGTCCCGTCGCAGGTGATTGTCAGCGGTGGTATGATCTTTCCCTTTGTTGCCCCTTCAGCGCTCACCTTGTATGTCATAGATACGTCCCTTACAGAAATATTTGGTTGCAGAACGAAAAGAAGGGCATCTATTGATATGGTCTCAGCACACGCTTGCTACTGCTGGCCTCCTGTCACACCATTTCCTCGACGAATCCAACCAGCCATATGCACCTCGTAGACTGCAACTTTCCCTTAACATGCACGCGTTTAGCATTCTCTCTTCGACATTGCGTTAGACCTGCTTCGAAAGAGTCCGCCTCAAAGTCTCACCCGACAGGGGTTTGCCACACTCCTCGCAGCAGTCCGCAAGCTGGGGCCGCCCGCTCAGAATATCCACCGTCTCCTTCATCGACAGCCAGAATTCACTCTTAGGCCTACGATCCTCCCAATCGGTACCTGTAGCTTCAAGACCTGTAGCGCCCCCCATCGGAGTGAAAACAACTTCAGAGCCTTGGATACCAATGACAGCTACTGACAACGGGTCGTCTGCAATCCAGTCCTTGGACTTGCCGGTAAACCGGTCCTCGATATGTTGCATACACTTGATTGCCATCCGGAGGGCACGGATTCGATCCATAGGCGAAGGCTTGCCACCCTGCTGATAATGACCAGGTACGGCTGCTCGAGACTCGAACCGACCTCGGGCTTCCTCTTTGATCATGTCGGCAATTACTTGTGTCGTGTACGTGGTACTAGCTCTTTCATTTCGAAGGATGATTTTGCCCGCTCTCGACGCTCCTTGATCGTTCTTGAAGTTCTCTCGTAGGAACTCAATATCCCTCGCAATCATATGGATATTGATTCCTTCCTCGGGGATGTACACCGCAAGTGCGCCAACCGAGAGACCGGCCATCGTCGCAAGATAACCTGACCGACCTCCTTGTGTCTCGATGACGAACACCCGTCGCCTTGACGATGAAGCAGACTGCCGAATGGCGTCACAGAATTGGATCAGCGTGTTCAAGCACGTATCACTGCCGATAGAGTATTCAGTGCCAGGGACGTTGTTCGATACTGTCGCAGGTAGCACGACCAGCGGGATCTTGAAAACCTCATATTGTTCTCGCGCCTTTCTCAGTTCACTTGCGGCAGTGAAAGCTTCAAACCCACCAATCAGAAACAGTGCATCAAACTTGTATATCCCGAAGCATTCAGCGGTTTTCTTCATGTCCGCACTCGGTAGTCCACGGTTCGTGCCGATTTCAGAGCCCCCTTCGTTGACCCATGGATCTACGTCGATCCACCGACACTCACGTACAGATCCTAGCGGCTTATCGTCGTGGTGTCGTTGGAGACCTGGGAAGCCATTGTGGATCGCAATAGGAGTATGACCGCGAGTCAAGCAATATGCAACGGCCGCGCGCGTAGCTGGATTCATACCCCCGGCAGGGGCTCCGACGTGTATGATGGCGATCCTCAGCCTCTTCTCCTTGGGTAAGAGCAGAGCAGGGTGATCCGTGGAAGTGGTGATGACATAACTGTTGTAGTATTCCTTGAATTCGACATCGCGCAGCTGCATAGCTTTGTCAAAGTCCTTGGCCGCGATAGCAGCACTAACCGACTTGGTCAAGGCTACTGTCTCCATTAGGTTGGAGCGTTCAATCTTGTTCTCCCGGATTGTTATGACTGGACTAGGTGTGCTTGGAGTAGCTTCTAGGACAGCTTTCACCGCTTCGACGCCTTGCAGTGTCGACAGCCAACGGTCGTAGAAGCATGCGTGTCCACCACGTTGTGTATGGCCCAAAACCGTGACGCGTGTATCAAGCTTGAGCTTCTGCGTTAGAAGATCTTTAACCTGGTTCGCAGTGATCCTGTTGAGTTCTCGATCGTGGGCCCCCTCCGCGATGATGACAATCGACCTTCTCTTGCCTCTCCGTCTGTGAGTGGCGATTATATCGCACATTTGATCTTCCCAACCAACCCGAGGAGGTTTCTCGGGAATGAAGACGAAGTCAGCGCCTGTAGCTATAGATGCCATGAGGGCTAGCCAGCCACAATGACGCCCCATGACTTCAATCACGAACCCTCGTTGATGGGAGGCGGCAGTGTCGAAAACATCGTCGACCGCGCCGCAGATACGTTCGAGGGAGGAGTAACAACCGATGGTGGCGTCGGTACCAGACATATCGTTGTCAATGGAGCCAACTAGGCCGACGATATTCAGGTGCTGAAAGGGGTCAACTTCTGCCTGGGTCAGCTCTCCAGTGTCCACCAGCTCTTTGAGTAGACTGGGCCATTCTGCTCTGAACTTGTCAGCACCAGTCAAGCTACCGTCACCACCGCAGATGACAAGGGCATCAATGCCGCGCTCAACCATGTTTTTCGCTGCTTTCAGTCGGCCCCATCTCTCCATGAACGCCATGCATCTTGCAGTGCCAATCAGTGTTCCTCCTCGAGACAAGTATCCTCTCACATCTTCCCAATGCATCTCTTTGATCAGATCGCCGCCTTGCACCAGGCCTTCGTAGCCTTCATAGATCGCATAAGACTCGCAGCCCATGTGGATGGACATACGAACAACAGCTCGCACGGCGCCGTTCATGCCAGGGGAGTCACCTCCGCTGGTCATGACACCAATTCGACGCTTCTTGGGAGGAGCGGGCACACCGTTGGCAGCCATTTTACTGGCAGCCGTAGGCAGTGGACGGGAATAGAGAGAATGATCTGGGTTTCTTGACCGAGGGGCAGGCCAACGCGAAAGGTGCCCTTATTTGTACGGGAGGAGGAAAAAGAAACGTGAGAGGACTTGAGGCCAGAATGAGAGGATTGGGATAGTAATGATGAACTTATTAGAAGATAATGCAAGAGTCTATCAGCAGATAGCATACGAAGTCTGTCGTGCCGAGCAGCAACAGCTGAAGCCGCAGAACGTCATTCGTGTATCCTCAGTGCTTAGCAGCAGAACTATGAGTGGCTGTTGGGCGCCCGCAGGGCCTAGCGGCCTCACCAGCCCAAGCTCCAGCACCCCCACCATGACCGAGCCTGCCGATAGGCCTAGACGCATCGCCTCGGTGACAGAGAGGGGCAGCAGAAGAAATTTTAGGTAAGAACAGTAGCGGGCCCCTAGTGCCCTAACTTACTATCTCTAGGCTTGTCACGGCCCTGGGCTCTCTTTCGTTACTGCGCGCTTGAGTTCGCGATCCAGATTTTCACCAATCAAAACATGCTCCAACCTTTCCACCTCTGCTTTGTAGGCTTGACTGCCAGTCATTTGATACAGTAATAACTTAGGCTTCAATCGAGAGGACCTCCCTACGGACCACGGACTGATAAGAGGTTGCGCACATTGCCCCTGTAGTTGGTGCGGCACCAAGCATCATGTCTGAGTTGGACACCATCAGCCTGCTGATTCCTCCTGAGCCTTCGTCCAAACCCCATGATCTCCAAGCGCAGATTCAACAGATTATCGCACAGAAAGGTCATTTTCGTCATGTCACCCAAAGTTCGCTACTCGCCGAGATCCAGGGCGAAGCCACTGCGCCGGACGCAGTCCAGGTTGATCGGGAAGATGAGCCCCAGGCCGAAGATGATACTCCGCAGAAGCGTCAGGAACGTGTCTGGAAGCGGCGAGATGAGATGCTAGAGCGCATCAAGTGAGTCTCCTTTGATCACCCATGATTGCGAAGTCTGACCCGTATACAGCTATGCACAAAACGAGGTCCTCTGCGCCCTGGACTTTGTGTCATTCCTGATTTCTCGGCAGTCAATTCCCGCTCAGCATTCCATGTCGCCCGCCCTTCAACAGGCCGTTCCTGTCGGGACGCTGGCCTCGAGAGTTTTGAAAGACAGACCAATTCCTCCTTCGACGAAGCGGCGGCTGGCCGCTGTCTCTCAGGGCTGGAGGGCTGAGGGCTTCCATTCAGCATCCCAAAAGCTGGCGGCAGCTTCTGGTAGACTTCAAACCGAAGCTGAGCGCGAGGCAGAGTATTGGCACCAGATTGCTGATCTCAACAGCAGAGGATGGTCAGTTTCGCGACTTCCACGAGACCGCAAGGCCATTGGCGTACATTTCGGATTTTCTGAGTCTGCACCGCAATTTCGGGACCGAGGCTTCGCTCTTCTTCGACAGGGCTCTGATGGTTCAGTCGTTCTGGACCGACAGGTTGGGCTTAAGAAACGCAAACGGCTGGGCGTCTACGTTGTGCGGGATGGCATCAAGACAGGCGCTTTCGATCTTCAAACCACTGAGCCTTCCGGTACGACGGAACTTGACCAGAGCCTCAACGACTACCGTAATGCCATTTTCGAGGAAGAGCTGTTCTATGAGATATGCCGTGAAGCGCGTCTTGTGGCCAACCAAGGCATTACTACACGGTCGCAGAGCGTAGAGGTTAACGTCGGCGGCGAGTACCACTTATTGCTCGTGTCATCCAGCGAAGAAGAAGATGTTACGTCTCCCAATGCTGCAGACAATTTGACAGCTCAATTCGTGGCCATATCTCTAAGGTTGTTGTTGATTGCTGCTCATGAGCAGAATCTCATCAGGCGATCGCAAAAACCGCCGCCAATGACCCTCAAAGCACGCCCAATCCCAGAGTACGCGTTGCTCCGACCTATTTTGGCACATTTACGACACCGTGCAGAAGCGGCAACCTTTTGGGATAGGTGCAGAGCATTGTTGGGTGCCTTCAAGCGAGCAGATCTACCGATCTCGGTGTCGATGGAGGCCTCGAACGCCACAGTTTTTCAATCTCTGCAGATGGAACCACCCAACACCATGCTGGCAGGCTTGATGGTACCTGTAAAAACCAGCTTCAAGATACACCTGACAGCACAGCGAAAGCTGCAGATTGGACTAGCCACATTTCTTGGGCCGGCTCTGTTCGGCTCTCGCTACGAAATATCGTCGATTGATTTTGGGCTTGCAACCATAGCGTCATCTCACCATGAAACTCGCGACGAGGCGCTGTCATTCATCCGACACATACTGTTGTTGGATCTCGTTGCACACAGTGAGACACTGGCCCTAGAGGTGCAAGCTGCGACCCGTTCAGAGTTGGATAAGAGCAAACAGACAGAATGGGCCGTCTCACAGCCACACGACGGTGAGCTGAGCTTGTACGACGCTCAGGAGGCCATCGAGAAGCTGCAGATTTCGGTGCAACACGAAAGTATCTGCGTCAAGTTGAGCCCCGTGGGAAGGAGAAGCGGTGTCCAGAATTTGTTGTGGTCCTGGACATCGGCCGGCTGTTCCGAGACAGAGGGAGGTGTGACGAGTGTGCAGCCTGATTTCACTTTTGATGGAGCAATAAAGCAGGCAATAGAAAGCAGTAGCCACAGCAGTACTACTTAATCCGCCTGTGTCAGACTGAGCGCTGCACCTATTCTTCGAGGAATATGACATACCCAGCTAGAGGGCAATAGGACTCGTTCGACGCGAGCTTCGTTTATATATGTGACACCACAAGTGATATGCCGCTGTCATTACGTTGTTCTCTGTCCGTACTATGCTAAGGTAGACGAAGATTCTCCGACGAAGCATTCAGTTTTGTACCGTTCAAAGCGAGATCGAGAATTTAATTCGGGAATGATTGATACTGGCGGGGATAAAACATAATTCCATGTCTCTAAAATCCGTGATATAATATGATCATGACCACAACTCCATCCACATACGCCTCTAATAGTTTTCATCATGGCCAGAGTCACTGGTCGAATGCTACCCTTGAGGTCCGCCGTCCACACCTCCCTTTCGAATATGTCGAATGTCTTGATACTTAACTAATGCTCAACAGCTCCAAAAGACAGCTGCAGTCTTAAGTGATGAAATTGGAAATGCCACGGACAATGAAAGTCTTGCACGACTGAAATGGGAGATTGGTTCTCTCCTTCAAAAATGCAAATATCTGTCCAGGGGTATCAAGTTGTCTCAACTAAGCAGGCACTCGTTATTTACACAAGCACATCCGTCCATCGCGAAAGAGTTCGCCGATCAGATGGTACATTTGTACCTTGCTTACTTCGAGTCTGTGTTTCGCATCTTACATATTCCCTCGTTCTGGATCGAATACGAGAAATATTGGAGCGCTCCCACGGAGGCTGATACCATTACTCAACTCAAGATCCAGCTAGTTGCCGCCATCGGAACTGTCGTTACCCAAGATGCTACCAAAACGACAGGCACCTATTCCACGGCGTGTCAATGGCTATATGCCGCTCAGGACTGGCTGGCTGGACCCATGAAAAAGAACCGCATCAGTATCGGTAGTCTGCAGATTCAGTGCTTGCTGATCCTGGCTCGACAGGCTCTTTCTGTTGGGGGAGATGTCGTTTGGATATCGATGGGCACTGTCGTTCGGACCGCGATGCAAATGGGTCTACACCGTGATCCGAAACATTTCAAGAGTATTGGCATTCTGTAAGGCTCGCTGAACTTGCACATTATTCCCGTGACTGACATAGTGTTGTTGATGCTAGTGAAAGCGAGGTTCGTCGAAGACTCTGGGCGACCCTCCTGGAGCTGGATATCCAGTCAGCCTTGGACGCCGGAGTACCACCTACTCTCTCAGTACATGATTTTGACACAGAGCCTCCCTCCAACATCAACGACAAGGATATTGATGAGCAAACCGAGGCTCTCCAGGAACATCCCGCAACGACGGCGACTGATTCATCACTACAGCGTTTCCTCCTCCAGGCTCTCCGTCCAAGGTTAGAAGTTGCCCGTCGTATGAACGGGCTAGTACCCGCGGTTTCCGAGACATCGTACAAAGAATTCTGCACTCTGACGACCACGATCATCAGCGCCTGCCGGGCCTGTAGCTCGCATATACCCAGGACGAGCAGCTTGGACGCAGCCTCGTTCCACCACCACCTCGCAGACCTCCTTCTCCGCCGCTTCATACTCCATCTTCATCGGCCCCTTGCTAGCCGAGCCCGAAGTAATCCACTGTACTATTTCTCGAGGAAAATGAGCCTGGATGCCGCCATGGCTATCCTCATCCCGGTCCCCAAGAACCCTGAATTCGCGCGTCTTGTGCTAGTCGGGGCGGGTATGTTCAAGAACCGCATGATCCACGCGTCCCTGGCCGTGGCGTCGGAATTGCTCACGGATGTTGAGGAGCAAAGCCCGCTGGAATATCCCACGCCCTCACGGGAACCTTCGGCCTATCGAAAGATGTTGACGGACGCGTTGCAAGAGGCGCTGCGGCAGTCTACCGAGCGGATCCGTCTCGGGGAGACGAATGTCAAGCTACGTATGAAGCTCAGTATGGCTCTGCGCCAGACGGAGGTGGCAGCAGGCGAGACCTCGTCATCGATGCAGCAATTGGCCCAAGCCGCCAAGGAGAGCCTGGAGTTTTCATACGCGATCATCCAGGAGCGGGCAACAGCTGAAGGAGTTGACATTGAAGCTGGAGGACGGAGTGGAATGTACGAGGACGTTGACCTGGATGACTTCGACCCAGAGCACTTCTCGCTGGACCCGAATTTTAGCTTGGACGACCTCTTCTTCCTTCCTACAGATCTAGATGTGAATGGTGTAGCAAGGCTTCCTCAAATGTAAGACTAGGGGAAAATAGAAGACGCATCTAATTTGCTATATCGTTAACATTTGTCCTCGTTCGGTGCAGTGCATTACAATTTGCTCTCTGTCAAATCCTCAAATGAATACATGGCCCTTTCGACCGCCCTTACCAGGTATTCAAGATTGGGCATAAGTCCGAACTCCGCATCCTGACCGAATTGCGCGGAGCCGGTAGCGGTTGGGGAAGATCCGCGCCCGCAACCGGCACGTGGCGGCCATAGTGTTCGCGTATGCGTGCAATATATCATGTCTATAAAACCATGGAATGCCAAACGTTCAACTCAGGAAACCATTTCATTTACCTTCTCTACCAAGCACGGGTGAACCTCAAACTTACCTCAACCGCCGGTCCTCAACAGTCATGGCATTACCAGCCCTGCCTAGTCAGCACCGGGCCCTCGTCCTCGAAACCCTTGAAGGAGGATTCTCGGTCAAAACTGTCCCAACTCCAAAACCAGATGCCGGTAGTGCCGTCGTACGCATCCTTGAAGCCGGAGTGATCTCATATCATCGTGAGATCTATAATGGGGAGCGAAAGTATGAGTTCCCGAAGCCACTGGTCGGGGGATTGAGTGCCATAGGACGCATCGCCGCCGTGGGCCCAGATGCCGTGGTGCTAAACCCTGGCCAGCTCGTCTGGGTGGATTGTGTAATCCACGCCCGAGACAATCCGGACTCTCTGTTTCTCAGCGCTATACACGAAGGCAGTGACGCTGGAAGTCGGAAATTGAGTAGCGATGTCTGGCGCGACGGAGCGTTCGCTGAGTACATGAAGGTGCCACTCGAGAATTGCATTCAGCTAGACGAAAACAGGCTGTGTTCGGAGCTGGGATACACCACTCGCGAGTTGATGTATATGATGTACCTGCTGGTGCCGTTCGGCGGCCTGAGGGATATCCGCCTCGAACCCGGTGAGACGATCATTGTGTCTCCTGCGACTGGCGGCTTTGGTGGTGCGGGTGTTCAGGTCGCAATAACAATGGGGGCAAGGGTGATTGCTATGGGGAGAAACGAAAAGGAGCTGGCCAGGTTAAAGGAGCATCTCAAGAATGGGACACCGGGAGCCAACATCGAAACCGTCAAGATCATAGGGAATTATGAAGCCGATGTCGCGTCACTGCAAGCTTTCGGGACCATCGACGCCGTCATCGACCTCACACCTCCTTACGCATGCAAAACGATGCACCTGAAGAGTGCCATTCGCTCCTTGCGTCGAGGGGGTCGGTGCAGTATGATGGGCTACGTTGAAGACGTGATGAATTGGAACGTCATGGCCCTGAACCAAACGTTGAAAGGGAAGTTGATGTATGAGAGGGAGGACATTGTGCTGTTTGTTAAGATGTTGGAGCGAGGCATGTTCCCTCGTGGAAAGAACTTCGTGGATCCCAAGGTGTTTAAGATGGAGGAGTGGAAGGAAGCACTTGATGCAGCAGCGGAATGGACAGGACTTGGTAAGACAGTTATGATTGAGCCATGAGTGTTGACCACTTCTTCCTCAGGGACATCTTAGAGAGAGTATGTGTGTCTTGTGTTTGTGTGTGAGGGAGTGAAAGCGAGTGAAGAGGATATCAACAATATTCGGGTGGCATCTTGCCTCTTTTGTCCTATGGTCTGGATTGTCCTATCAAGTGTTGCCAAGGATCCAAGATGTGTTAAACGGCACCATCTCCTGCCTAATACGGAGTGTTGCATCGACTATTCAATTGCTTGGCATCATCAGCAAACGTGTCTTCCAATCCATCAGCCAGCAACAGCAACAGCTATACTGTTACTCTTCCCTTCAATCGCTGTAATACTCTTACCCGGTTCAAGCCAAAAACGCTTCCTCTAGAATCCTCCCGCTTTTCAGGTTGTTTGCTGCGCAAAGCCGCAAACAAACAAGATGACTACCCGATATCGAGTCGAGTGTTTGTCACCAATCTCATATATCAAGCAGTTTGTCTCAAAACCCTTGCTAATAATGGCTAGATGCACTGAAGGCAAGTAAAGCCAGCTGCTGTAAGGCAGGACACGATTATGCTGACTCCGATACGGCTGAAGACCCATCGCAGAGACCAACTTGTATGTAACTAATCTTGTCACGCGTCCCCTGATTGCTGATTCGGCTTCGTTAGATCGAATGGATCAAGGTGAGAGGGCAATTGGCAGTCGGAGTGCCTAGCAAAACTCTCACTACGTACTCTCTAGGGTCTTCTTGCGGTTCCATTCGTCCTCAACTCGCAACCAGCCGTCGAATACGACGGCTCCAATGGCCAGAGCTTGGATACCATGGCGAGGTCAGCGCGACAGCGATTCGCTGAGATCTTCAGAGATGTCGAAGATTTGATACTCGATCACAGTGCGTTCGAGGACTAGCAGAAGGAGGGTTAAACGAGCTGACTAGTCGCAGTCAACCAGCAAGCTGTGTCGAATCCAAGGTCTAAACTCAATATGCTGGTGCCTACCATTTCTGCCTTTTTTACACCTCTAGCGCTAGAAGATGCTTTCCGATACCAAGATGCGAAGCGTGCCATCTCCTCCCGTCGTTTTGTTGCCCCCTCTTTCAACGACATCCGACTGATCCTCAACACTGCTCAAGTGATGGCGATGATCCAGCCAAAGCCATACAGACAACTGAAAATCAAGCTGAACCCTGGACTTGAGCTTTTGACATTCGATGGTGATGTCACACTGTACGAAGATGGAGCATCCTTGCATTCGCCTGAGGCGAACCCAGTGATCCTGCGTCTCCTTCATTTTCTGTCTCAGAATGTTAAAATCGGGATCGTGACGGCCGCCGGTTACATGCAACCCGAGCATTACTTCAACCGATTATCTGGCCTTCTTCTAGCTGTCAAGGATTCGGAGAATCTCAGTGCTGCTCAAAAGTCGAATCTGATTATCATGGGTGGTGAATCCAATTTTCTCTTCGTGTTCGACGAAAAGGAAGAACATTGCTTGCGGTACATTCACCGGCGAGAATGGATTTTAGATACCATGAAACACTGGTCAGAGCCAGCCATCCAAGAGCTTCTCGACCATGCCGAGTCTGCGTTTCAATCATGCATTCGCACACTTCGGTTGGAAGCCAAAGTACTCCGGAAGGAACGGGCAGTCGGGATTTACGCAGCTGACCAGTCCAAGAAGCTCACCCGTGAACAACTGGAGGAAACTGTCCTGGTGGTTCAGCAGGTGGTGGAGACCTCGATCAATACAGCCAACTCCGAGAAGCCAGCTTCGTATGCGGACATCCCTTTTACCGTCTTCAATGGGGGTGCCGACGTCTTCCTCGACATTGGAGACAAGTCCCTAGGTGTACAGTCATGTCAGAAATGGTTTGGGGGTATTCCACCTTCTAGCACGCTGCATGTTGGCGACCAGTTCCTGAGCGGAGGGGGCAATGACTTCAAGGCTAGAAGCGCATGTTGTTGCGCGTGGATTGCCAGTCCAGCAGAGACAGTGGCATTATTGGACGAAATGATAGCTCTGGCGAAAGGCGAATAAGCGCTGGGTTGGCCGCGTGAAGTTCAGAGGTCGGGAAGAACCAGACGAACAATAGACTTTATGAACCCTGGATGCAAAGTAGCTACGTACGGATGATGCGAGTACTCATGCTTACCGGAGTGGGAGGGTCCTAGAAGCCGCCCAGCGCATATGATGTGATGTGAGACGGGGAAAGTCCTCGTCCAAGTCTATTATTTATGGTGCAGTTGTGCAGTTGTGCAGTTAATAGCGCTACTAAATAAATTCGGGGCTCGATCTGTTGCAGGGGTTCGGATCCTTTTTGGGGGGTCGAGATGGCGCAGGGCCAAACTGCGGGTAGTGCGGACGTTGACGACCACATCGTACTTCATCCACCATCTCTAATCAACACGAGGCTGGCTCTGCTCAGCAGTCGTATTCTTGTTGAAGACGGGAGATAGTCAATGCTGACTCTCGTGTCCTTTGACTACTGTGGTCCGTCCTTGTGAAATGTGGTCCTCTCGTCGGACAATGACTTGTTGATTTAGACCAGTGTTCCCCGAATTGAGTCGTCCCTGGTCCTCCTCCCTACGACCCTGCCCGCACACCGTTTCCTGTTGCATTCAGCGCGCAGGCCTCGCGCCGCGTGGATGCCGCCCGTCTCTTACCTGTCACCATGTCGTCGATGCGCGGTCTCGTCCAATTCATAGCCGACCTCCGAAATGCCCGGGCGAGAGAACTGGAGGAGAAGCGAATCAATAAAGAACTGGCCAACATCCGCCAGAAATTCAAGAGCGAGAAATTGGATGGCTACCAGAAGAAAAAATACGTCTGCAAATTGCTCTACATCTACATCCAAGGGTACAACGTCGACTTTGGACACCTGGAAGCCGTTAACCTGATCTCCGCAACCAAATACTCCGAGAAGCAGATCGGTTACCTGGCCGTCACCCTATTCCTGCACGAGCAGCACGAGCTCCTGCATTTGGTGGTCAACAGTATCCGAAAGGACCTGCTGGATTACAATGAACTCAACAACTGTCTGGCTTTGCATGCAGTGGCCAATGTGGGTGGTAGAGAAATGGGCGAGGCGCTCAGTGCAGACGTCCATCGGCTGATGATCTCCCCTACCTCCAAATCCTTTGTCAAGAAGAAGGCCGCCTTGACGCTGCTCCGGCTCTACCGAAAGCACCCGGCTATAATTCAAAGAGAGTGGGCAGAAAGAATAATATCACTGATGGACGATCCTGATATGGGTGTGGTGCTCTCTGTCACTTCTCTCATCATGGCTCTGATTCAAGACAACCCGGAGGCATACAAGGGGAGCTATGTCAAGGCAGCTCAGAGACTGAGAAAGATTGTCATTGAGAACGACATCTCGCCGGATTATTTGTACTACAAAGTCCCTTGCCCGTGGATCCAAGTCAAATTTCTAAAGTTGCTGCAATATTACCCTGCTTCAGGTGAGTACGACACCATTTCCCATCCTCGTCCGAGCGATTCTGACTTCAGAGTAGAAGATTCGCACATACGCGATA